TATGATGGATGTCGGTATTAACTCCCAATAAAATGGTTTTGAGGGAGAAAAAAAAGGACTGTTTGCAGGTTCTCTCACCTTCAGAACACTTTGATTCTCCAGTTGAAATATTACCCTGATTTGCCAACTGTATATTAAATAAGCTTTAATCAATATCTATAGTTAGCTTAATATGATGTCGTTAAGCTATTTCTGATTTCAACCAGAAATAGCTCTCTGTCTTTGCCTTGTCGTCACTAGTAATTTTCTTTTTAAAGTAAGAAAATACAAAAGAGTGAAATACTCAAATCCATAAATTGTGTAATATACTGTAATATGGCTGTTTCCATAAATGCCCAGGCAAAATCCCAAGTTCTTTGGCTGAGCCACTTTCTACATCATCTACTTTGAGCTACATTCTTCCTGGGGATAAACTGCCCTTCCTGGCTTGCCCTGTACTTGACTAATCAGAACCACATGACTGGCTTAATGACCAGCAAGCAGTGGAGGAGGGATATAAAGAACTCCAATAATGGATGAACTTATGTCAAAATTCAAAATGGAGTTAGGGCTCTAGCTATAGAATGAAGCCTTCCACAAACCTGTGTGCTTCAGGATTTATGCTCTGATGCATAGCTAATAGGGTCTTGCATCCAATGACATTTCTTGATGATGGTGATATAAATTTTATTGTGCCAACCTGGCCGATAAACACATGTGGGGTTAATTGAAGGGCAGAGGGATAAATGGCTTAGTGAGCCTGGCCTTTCAAGTTCTTGGGTCTCTTGCTTTTTGATGATCGGACCAGGGTGCAGCTGCCTTAGCCAGTTCCCTGCTTCAGCTGGCAAGGCTCATTTCCTGCAAGACATCCCCAAGGAGAAGCCATATGGACCTTCCCCAGTGCAGCCCTGGGTGCTGGAACAGCCATGTGAAGACTCCTGTCAGCGCTGAGATGTTTATACATTCACTGATTCAGCTTTCCTCCTGCAGTCAGAGTCATTGTGTGTGTTTTGTAAGATGGAAGAGGACTTTGTAGATTGGTGTGGGACACGTGGGTTAATGTTGGACTTGTGGGCTTGGGCAGCACTGGGTTGGGATGTTTTCTTGATGTGCACTTACCCTTTACATAAAACTCTCTCTTATACATATGAGTTTCTGTGGATTTGTTTCTCTAAAGTACCCAGAATAACACAGATGGTGTTAATTGCCACTAAGGTGGCTCTGACTCACGGTGACCCCATGCACAATGCAACGAACACTCGACACATCCTGCACCATCCTCACACTGGCTGGTATGCTCGAGTCCGCCGTATACTTGAATCCCTTCATCTTCCGGCACCGTGTCAGGACGTATTCTATCGTGATCCCTATGGTTTTCAGCAGCTAATTTTCAAAAGTGGATTGACAGGCCTTTCTTAGTCTGGAAGGTTGATCATCTCTGCTAGTGTTTAAAATACTGGTGGCATCACTTCTACCAGTGTAACAACATGCAAACTACCACAGTATAACACACTGGCCGACAAATGGATATCAAAAAATGAATGGTAAGTTTATTCTTTCCATTTTTGAGATGAAAAATAACGAAAAACCAAAACATACCATCCTGTACTTCAGAAGAAATTAGTCAAATAAGAATCATGTGAGGCATTAAAATTAGGGTTCGGGTGGAACTTAAATGAAAATTTCAAGGATGTATGTGGCATTAAAGAGACATCAAGATGGGAAAACCACAGCTCAAATAAGTGAAAGAATGGCAATTTCAGAGAGTGGGTCCCAACCAGGGATGGATAGAGAGCTAGATACAAAGAGATTATAATAAAATCCTTGATTGGTTAGAGTTTGATTGAGGTCACACGTGATGAAGTGAAATTAGTTGTTTATGGCTCTTCTACTCATTTCTCTGTAACCCCCATCAAATGATTCTGCGAGGCCATTCAAGTAAGGTGTAGAGGACTCTAACTCAGGGATTGGTCATTGTTGCCGTACCTCTGAGTATAAGAGCGTCGTCTTAGTAGGGAGAGGAGGAATTCCAGGGCCATCGAGAGACTAGCCACCAGTGGGGCCTGTGCGAGATCGCTGTCTGAATGGTGGAGGTGGCAGGGGTTGCAGCACTGAGACAGAGAGTGGGGGCGGGGGGGAGCGGGGGCTGATGGTGAGGCCGAGAAGCCAGTAGGCTTCCCAGCCCATGTAGGCAGAGGAAGGACCTCTATGTCAGAGTAGACCACGGGTCTGAGAGGCTTGGCTGCTGTCTGAGAAAAGGCACCAAGTGTTTTCTGATCCTGGCTTATAGTAACTATTAACTTTCCCAATACGCCTCCATAATTGCATTGTCTGTGAGTTCTGTGTGGTCTTTGGAATGGATTATCAACCCCAGCCGAGAAGTAGAGCGCCGTGGGAAAAACAGTTGGAGAGAAAATTCGTAGGGGAAAAGGCAGATTGGAGGAAGACTCGCTAAATCCTGTGGCGTGCAGGAAACATAATCTGAGTTGCTGGAAATGAAGACTTGAACTGACGCCTCCGTATGGATTACACCTTCACATAAAAAAAGAAGCAGAAAATTTCACAACCAGATCAATAAGCCACACCATGCTACATGAGAAAATATTGCCAATTATTGCAACCAATGCTCATGGCAGCAGTAGTCAAAAATTCAAATTGCATTGGACAGATCTGCTTCAAAAGACCTCTTTAAAGTGTTGAAGAGCAAGGATGTCATTGTGAGAATTAAAGCTTATCTGACCTGCACCATGGTATTTTCAGTCACCTCATATTCATGTGAAAGCTGGACAAGGAATAAGGAGACTGGAGAAGAATAGGTGCATTTGAATTATGGTATTGCTGAAAAATATTAAAATTACCGTGGGCTGCTAGGCGAACAAACACATGCATTGGAAGTTAGTGCAGCCAGCATGCTCCGTAGACACAAGGATGATGGGACTTCAGCTCATCTATTTTGGACATGTCAGGAGAGACCAGCATGCTTGGTGCAGTATGTGGGTGAAAAAGAGGAAGATCCTTGAGATAAATTGACATCACAGATGCAACAGTGGGCTCAGTCAAACAGCAAAGACCGTGAAGATGGCATAGAACTGGGCGTGTTTTGTTCTGGTTTGTATAGAGTTGTTCTGATTCAGAACTAGCTCAAAGTAGCACCTCCCAATGAGGATGATGTTCAATATTTGCCCATAGGAACTTTCAGTATTGCAACTTGAGGTTTGAAATTTTTCTTCAGTTACTCTGGCTTAATAAATGCTGAATGTATTCTTCACTTTGGGTTTTCTAGCCTGCCATCTTTGCACTTTTCATTATAGTGCTCTGCCTTCTCGAGCTGCCCGTGGGACTCTTCTACTCACTTCTTTTACATTATCATTTCTTCTAGCTGTTTTAGCTACTTTCTGCTCAGAGCCTCTCCTGACATTCATTTTGTTTGTTTGTTCGTTTTCTTTATAATAAGCTTTTACTTTCTTCATGTATGATGTTCTTGATCTCATCCCACAACTCCTCTGGGCAGTAGTATTCAATGCATCAAATCTACTCTCCAGATGATCCCTAAATTCAAATGGAGGTACTCAAAGGGGTATGCTGGCTCCCATGGACTTGCTTTAATTTTCTTCACCTTCAAGCTGAACTTGAATTTCAGCAATTGATGTTCTGTTCCGCAGTCTGCCCTGGCCTTGTTTTGGCTGATGATACTGACCTTTTCCATCATCTGCTCACAGAAGAGGTCAAATCGATTCCTGTGTATTCCACCTGACGAGGTCCATGAATAGTCACTGTTATGTTGTTAAAACTGCATTGGCAATGAACAAACTGTTGGTCTTGCAAAATTATATCATGCCATTTCCAATGTCTTTTCTATCACCAAGGCCACATTTTGCAACTATTGACACTTCTTTGTTTCCAGCTTTCATATTCCAATCACCAGTAATTACCAAGGCATCTTGATGTCAGATTGTAGTACTTGGAAGAATTCTTTGATTGCTTTATAACTGGCTGTAGTGGTTGGTGAATTTTGTTGAGTGAAAGTCATATGAACTATCTCCCCTGTAGGTGTATGCACATTGCCCTATCGTAGACAGGATTGTACTTATAGATCTTAAAATGGTCTGTTTGGTGATATTTGTGATGCCATTCCTCTTTCTTATTCCCAGCATAGGAAGCCATATGATTGCTCCATTCAAAATGGTCAATACGAGCCCATTTCACCTCACTAATACCTATGATATTGATTTCAATGCATTCCATTTCATTTTTTCCCTTTTTTAATTTCATTTTTGATGACTTCCAATTTCCTAGATTCGTACTTTATATATCCCATGTTATAATTATTAATAGAGGTTTGCAGCTCATGCTGCTCATGTTAAATTATGGTATGGCCCATCTGAAAATGAAGATCCTGAAAGCTTTGCTCCATCGACGTCATTAAGGTCCTCCTCACTTTGAGGGGTGGTATTTTGGGTGGCTTCCAACCTGAGGAGCTAACGTCTGGCACTAATCTGACAATGTTCCACTGTTATTCATAAAGTTTTCAGTCATTAACTTTTCAGAAATGGTCTGCCTCTTCTTCCCAGTATGGCTTAGTCCTGAAAATTTGTGCTACAGTTTGTCCACCGTGGGTCACCCTTCTGGTATTAGAATGCAGGTGACAGTAGCTTCTAGCACCGCAGCAACACACAGGTTACCTACCACACACCACAGTAGACCTAACAGCCAGGTGGTGGACCGACTCACAGGTCACCATGATTACAGGATTGCGTATATACAGTATGAGCTCTGTTTCCTTCCATCTTGCACTGCTCCCAGTATCTCTCCCTGCATCGATCTTTTTTTTTTAATGAGTTTCCTCTTATTGTATATTGCCTTTCCCGCCACCCAAGTTCCCAAGAGTAGTAGAAGGGAGGGTAAATTACTAACTAGAAAGTCAATATAAATTAGCACTATATCTTAATGACTCCAACAGCTGCATCTTTGAGCTCCTGCCTTGTTAACTCTGCCCCTCCCTTCTTATCTTTCTGCTGCAGCCTATGGGATCAGAACGAATAGAAAAACGAAAACGTCAGATGTCGATAGCCCAGGAGCCACCCAGAGCTGCACGGGGACAACATGCAGGGGGGAACCGTGGCTCAAATGCCTGCTGCTTCTGCTGGTGCTGCTGCTGCAGCTGCTCCTGGTAGGTGGGCTTTTGATCAGCACACTTAATGATGGGAAGGTAGGATC